TCGAGAATTGCTTATGAAAGATAATGAATATATAGTGTAAAGAATGACTCACTATAAGGTAGGGAAATCATTCCTTAGTCCTTGGATTACTTACATTGATTCATTTTGAGTATGAGACTATAATGAATCATTGCACTTGTAGGTAAAACATAGGATCAAAAGAATTATTGAAATACTCAACAAGAAGAAGAAAAAGACTGAAAAATAAACTAAGGCTTGTACCAATATTGGAGTATGAATAGATGCCTCAAGGTATATAAACAGGGTTAATAACCAATCAATGGGCATAGCCAATAAAAACTGGCTTATAAATATATTCATACCCAATTTAAGAATGAAATAATTAGCTTGAAAGTAAGGTAGACAATAATGGAGAATGGATTATAAATCAACTAAAAAATGGGCATAGCCAATAAATATTGGCATATATATATAATCATACCCAAAGGAAATAAGAATGAAGAATCTAAAGTAGAGTAGCCAAATCATTTCCTTCGTCATGTGAATTGCTTACTCGATTCATTGTAGGTATGGGACTATAATGAACCATTGCACTTGTAAGTGAAACATAAGATTAAAGGAGATCATTGAACTACATAACAAGAAGGAGAAACAGAGTGAAAAATAATCTAAGTGTCAAAAATAGGGCTCTCGGGTTTGGACTATCAAATTTTTAAATCTTCGCTTGAGTTGTTCTAAAATTATGTGGATGATACTAATATTTTGTAATCATACAGAAAATGAGTTGTGTTCTTTGAATGCATTAAAATACATCATATTCATACCACAATTCACATCTAACGATTTAGGAAAGTCTAGTCACTAGGCTTTCAAGAAATAGCATGTTGTTTAGGAAGAGCTTTCTTGATCATGCATAGCCTTATGTGTATGTGTGCATACACCCATACTTAGTACAAGTGGTGTACTAATCCCTACTATTTACTATTTTATAGATGCAGATTAAGGGACATATTGACGACTCTTGAACCAGTTTGGACACCACTATTTCTCCAGACCATTTGGTAGACCCTCTTAATTTCGAGGATGCTACTGTTTTAGTCTAGCCTTAGTGTTAGACAAATCTAGTGGATGTTATCCCTAACGTTTCTTTTGTACTTTCATTTTGAAGCTTTGTAATATGGCCGTGTTTGGCAAACTATTTATGATATATTCATCTTCAGTTTCGAATTGATTTTTTTGTGTTAGATGGTTGTTCTCTTATGTTGACTTTAGAAAATGATGTATCTAGTTAATAATTATATGAAGTCTATGTATACTTCATACAAATAAAAAGTTTTAAATTTTCCGCAAATTTAAATAGATGAATGTGATGAATGCAAAATGAGGCTTGTCTACGACCTCTGAGAAGTCAATGACGCCGGTTGCGATCCAGATCCCAGAATCCGAGTCGTGACATCGCCGGTTGGAGCTGTTTTCTCGCGTTGCTGCTGCTTCGGCAGTCCTCGCGTTGCTGTTTATCGGAGAAGAGAAGAGAGGAAAGGATGGCGCCGGGGTGCTGGTCGCTGCCTTCGCCGGCGGCTTCTATTTTCTTGAGCTACTGCTGGTCCATCAGAGAAAAAAGAGAGGCAGAGGAGATGGGGCGAGGGAGAAGAGAGGAGAAGAGAGCGGGGAAAGACGAGGCACCGTGACGTTTGGCTGCCTTCGCCGAAAAATGGTGAGTAGAGAGAGGGTGTGAGAGGGGAGGAGAGGGGAAGAGGGAGGCGGGTGATACTGCCAAGGAGAGGGAGGGAGAAGAGAGTGAAAATTGAAAATCTTCTTAGGTTTAGATCTTTGATAGTTCAAAATAGAGAAAAAGAAGGATTTGATTTCAACCATTGATTTAATAAGAGATGAAGGGTTAAAATTCGATTAATAAAATAGATGGATGAGATTAAAAGATGAGATGTATTGAAATCGGGTTGAATTGAATATGGAATGTCTACAATTGCAATTAAATTGACTAAAATTGAAATGAAAGAGTGGCTATGATTAGAATATAATTTAATTGAAGTGGCTAAAATTGAAAGAAATTATAATAGAATAGGCTAGAATTTAAATAATTTTAAGGAAAGTGTAGGAATTATTATTTAATTAAAATACTACATATATTAAAATATTTTTATGTAATTGAAAATCATTTAAATTTTTAAAACATTTGAAATTCATTAATAATTTTAAAATATTATAATAATATTTACGATAATTTTATAAAGTGAACGATACTAAAATATATAATTTTCAAGAAAAAATCGACTAAAATTTTAAACTTTAAATACGTATTTAATCGAATAGTATTCCTAAAAATGGTTAAAGGTCGGTCAAAATTGGGTGTCAACACTGTATAGTTAAATTTCGTTGTTATGTAACAATGAAAACCCCTATATTATGGAACAACTAATTTGGTGTGTTCCCATTGAAACTTAATTTCTTTTTTTAATTATATCTTTACATAATATTTGAAAATACTATTTTACCCTTTACCATAAATATTTAAATCTAGTCAAACCTCCTACCCTAGAATAATTAAGGATATTTAAGTAAATTTGTAAATTACAATACAGTACGATACAATTTAACCAAATAGTTAAAATGTTTTCAAACAACAACAATACAATCTAACCAAACATTGTATCTCCATACAATATAGTACAATACAATATAATACATTATGAATAGTGCGTAACAATGATCTAAACAAAGTGTAAATAAAACACCATTAATATACAAAATTAATGTGTGCATTATGGATTGAGTATGAAACTATGAGCCTTCATCGCGATCCTCTCTAAGAGTTCATTCTTTTTGGTACATACAATCTACCTTATACCTCAACACATTATCTCTTTCTTATTCAAAAGTCATCACCTTTTGCTTATGAAACATTCCCCTTTAGCTCAAGTAAAAGACGGGTTTTATCTTGTTTTCTCCTTCACTTTGGATGATAGTGATGATTTAGCCTTATTCATCACCGCAACTCCACTTTCACGGGAATCGAACACACGAACTCCCAAATGGGCAAATCTGTGAACTTCCTTAGCCAACTCTTTCCTGCCTTTCTTAACATGAGCACTACTTTCCATGAATAACTTGCTCTGAGCATCGCCCAATTTTTCTTTTTAAAAAACTTCACGAGGACCTCTGTATTGAGTTGCGTAAGAAATGCGTATACTCAAATTATTTTTTACATTCATTTTCATATTTACAATTTTTTAATTTTTTTTATACAAATTCATTAATTTTTCATGTATATTAACCTATAAATATAAGCATTCAAATAAAATTTCTCCACCGTCTTCACTCTCGTATGAATTAACAAACTCTATTTCAAAATCTGTTAATACTACTGTCAGGTAAATCGTGACATTCTTCTATTGACTTTTGTCACATTGCTAGTTAGTAGTATTCACATTCTTTAATTCATTTGAAATAGTAAATTTTATATTCAATTGATGTGCAACTCAATAGACACAAATTTGAGCTTAGGAGTGTGTTTGGTATGACAATTTTTTATGTTTGGTTGGGATAAAAGATTTGGAAAATATTTTTCAAATTAACTCATTTTTCTCAAAATAAGGAAAATGACTTCCCTTCAAAAATTAAGGAAAACATTTTCCAAAACTCTCTCCTCCAATTTCAAATTACATTTTTTTTGGGAAAAACAACAATTTCAAAAAAATATTTCCAATTTAGCAATTTTAACTTTTTTACCTGATCACTGACCCCCACCGGCCACCCCCCAACCGCACCCCTCCCCAAAAAATTAATTTTGCTTTTTAAAAATATTTTCAACTTCAAAGTTTTATTTTTAAACTCCTACCCCCATCTCTCAGCCAACTCCCGGCCACCCTCAACTTCCAAAAAAATTAATTATATTTTTTAAAAGTACTATAAACTTCATATTTTTATTTTTTCGCTCCTCCCCCCTCCCCCCTGCCCCCACCCCACCCCACCCCATACTACCAACCCCCCCCCCAAAAAAAAATATTTTTAAAAAATATTTTCAATTTCACAAATTATTTTCTACTCTAGTAAAAATAAAAGATGTTTCTTAAAAATATTTTTCATTCATAAATCAAACACAAAATCATTTCTGAAAAATATTTTCTATTTCACCAACCAAACATGAGAAAATAAGTCCAAAATCTACTTATTTTCCAGGAAAACATTTTCCTTCATACCAAACACACCCTAGATGTTAAAATAAAAATAAATAAATAAATATATATATACATATATATATATATATATATATATACACACACACACACACACACACGAGATTCATCATTAGATTTGAATTGATTATTTGGTTAAATTAAAATCAAATCAATTATTTAATTCTTTTAAATTCATAAAATCAAATCAAACCAAAAGAAAAAAAAATTAACCATGTTGTCGGGTAAATTCAAAGTTTTTGATTTGAAAGTAATAAATTAAATTTGTTGGACAAACACCTAATACAGGAATAATCCACAACAAAGTTATTGTGGATTCCATTGAGCAATAATAGAATTACTATTACATGAAGAAAGTGACTCAATTAAGAGAAAGTGTGACTATCTAGCATGACGTAGGGTAAGATTGAAATAATATTTTTCGATGGACTTGGTCTTAAGGTTTTAATAATTGGACTAAAATTTAAATATTGAGCTTGAAATAAATGATAAAGTTGAGACTTCAGTTAATTAAAATCTAACAAAATATTTTTATTTTATTTATGAATAATATATAAACAATTGTATAAGATATATACATATAATTTCTCAGTCTGATTTGGTTGTTTTTGTAATTATTTGAGTAAAATTAAAACTAAATCAAATAGTATCGGTTTACAAAATTTAAAATCAAACTTAATCAAATCACACCATATATCAAATTTCTCAATCGATTTGATTCGAATTACGATTTAATTTAATTTTTAACCATAACCATGTCCAAAATTTAATTATATAAATTTAAATTCTAAATAGTGATAATTTCCCTCTCTCCCCCCCTAAATTCGTGAGTATTAGCGGTCCTTCTTTGGGCCAGTAAATTTGATCCGGAATAACCTGAACCTCTTTGCAACAGCCCAAATTTCACTTATCTCGCCTGCCCTACCATTTCCGATCGATCGCCGCCGACCTCCGCCCCCTGAACCATCAACAATCATGCTCCGACAAAGTTCTAGACTTCTAACTAGAGCCACCACGATGAAGTGGCGCCGCCCTTTTTCAACTGACCTGCCAGCGGCGAACAGCGTTGATTCCACTTTTTCGGACGCTTGGAAGAAAGTAATACCCAACACGGAACCTCCTATGACTCCATCTGCCTTCATGAAACCTAGGCCCGCAACTCCGTCATCTATCCCTTCTAAGCTCAGTGTCAACTTTGTCCTTCCTTATTCATCTGAACTCTCCGGTAAAGAGGTAATGTACAAACATTTTTTTTTTTATTACATTTCTAAATTTTCCTACTTATTTCTGTGATGGAAGTCTGGAAATGATTTGGTGAAATCAGGAGAATTTTGATTTGGTTTTCCACCACTCTCTAATTTTGTACCTTTTCTTAGGGATATATGGATGACTCTTCATGTTACTTTAGATTGCTTGGCAGTTCACATCTTTCATTTTTTCCTTATGCTATCATCTCTTATCTTCTTTCTGGTTGCTTTCTCTATTTTGACTTTTTTTGGTATAAAGGGTCATTTTCATTTGAAGAAGTTTTGGGAAGTTGTTTGTTTTTCAAATGTTCTCTTTCAAACTAATTGTTGACAATTAACAAGCTAATGATGCAGAGAAAAATGAGAATTTGTTGGACTAGTAATGATCTTTGTGTGCGTGTTATAGACGAATTTATATAATTCCAATTTTACCATGCTAATGACTGGGTTGAATTGATGGTGGTTGCTAGTTTCAAGTATCACAACCAACTGTAAACTACTGTTGTTTTTCCTATTTCAGTTTGGTAGTTGCTTAGTTTCAAGTCTAACAACCAACTGTAAACAGCCATTACTTTTGTTGTTGTTGCTGCTTAATTCTTAAAACGCATGAGATATGTTGAAGATCAATCAGCTAATGATTTGCAGATGTCATGCTAGTCAATTTTCTCGTGTTTAAAGTTTGAAATGGTTGAGTTGCAATAAACCGCAGAGTATTTTAAAGAAATTTTATTTTGCATCAGATAAGCTCTAGTTTTGTTGCTTGAACTTGGATGATACCAAATTCACATTTTGTTAACTGACAATGACATGGAAATGAAAGCTGGAAAATTACTAAATTGGAGAATTGTATCAGTCAAGTAGCTTACAATTGTTTTGGTGCTAAGACTTGTTATTGAAGGGAGATATATTTAGACCAGGTAGTCAAGTGCTTGATGCAGAGACTATGTCTTGCTCTTTTCCTGCTCTTGCTAAATGGCTTATTTGTAAGCAATATGGCCCTCCCCGTTGCTTTAACCATACATTATTGGACAATAACTTTCTGTGGGCATTGACTACAGAATTATTAAGTGCACAAAATTTGGTTTCTGCTCTGCAATCTTTTCTTTTCCTGTTTTTTAAATGTCCAGTGATGCTTGTCCTCTACCATCAATATTATGTGCATTCAACGTGTCAAGTACAGGTAATTAATTTTTTGAAAAGGCATTACCTCAACCAATCAATTGGAATCATGAGGCTTAAGTAATATATTTCTTCTGCTAGGCAAGCTACCCTCATTTTTTTATCTTAGTATATTTCCTTTCCAACTGATCCATTTTTTGAGCATCTGGAGTTTAAGAATTTTGATGTAAGGACTCTCTTGGGACATGTTTAAGATAATAGTAGTTGAAATATGTGAAAGTATGGTAGTATCGAGTGAACACTATATCAAATCCATAAGTAGCACAAGTCATTTTTTATTTTGGCTTTGGAAAGATGGAATTTTTGTCATTCTAGTAGATGGCTAAAGTGACTTGGACATCCTAAAATGGAAAAGGGGTCAAGCAAATCATGAGTCATGACCAAAGAGGAGGTAGCAGCTGTCACATAAATTGATATTTTTGAGAGATCAATTGGATCAAGGAAATTTCTTATGATACTGATAAAAATAATAGTAGCTTTCTCATATCTGAAATTTTCAAAATAGCAGCTCTGCTCCTTTGTCACTTTCTAGGGATGAATAGATTTGGTGATTGTGTATTGACAAGAAAAAAATTACTGATGATATGCACTTTCATTTTAATACAATTTGGTAGTCTTTTTCTATTATTTTTTTTTTGGTCAAGACAATTTGGTAGTCTGTTGATTCCATGAGCAGCTGGCTTAGGTACCTTATTAAAGAGAAGTCTTCGGCATTCTAGTCAAGAAGCTGTACTTGCAACATTGGCCTCCAAAAGGAATGAATGATACATATCTTTTTACTTGCTTATGCTGCAAAGAAATAGTGAACAGTTTTTTTTTTTTTTGTGGGATGTTTGTTCGGTACTTAAAAGTCAAAAACGCGTTCAGGATTCGAACTTGATGAATCCAGATGCAGCTGAACTCAACGACCATTTGAGTCACTGGATTTGAAATTTAGTAGATTTCTTTCACACATACACTTCTTAACTTATATACTAGGCTGCGCCAAAGCTACTGGGTGCGGTCGAAACTGTACCTTGTATTGCTTCCCCACCACCCCACACACACAAAAAAAAACAAAAAATTCCAGCTGTTTACAAGTGAAGGGAAAAGATAAATCTAAAGCTTTTTGACAGTAGCTGTTCTTACAGCCTTTTTTAGCTGTATAAGACTTCTCAACAGTTTATCAGCTTGGGTGTTAATTGCTGTCTGGAAGTTTCTAAGTTTACTTTTAATTGTGAATGGTTAGTTATTTTCAGAAATCTTAAATACACATTCCAGTATCTGACTGTCACGTTTATTATGTTTTGGATTAGCAACTATAAATGTTGCCTGAATCAATCTATAATTTTGTTATTCAATTTTAATGCTGTGGCTGGATGTCATATTTGGTATCGTGTGATACGAGAGAACTTGTCGATATGAAGAATGTGCATGGATTACATCATCTGAAAATCGAACCCCAAGATGTTTATTCCTTCTCGTCAAACATATTGCAGGTTGATATGGTTATCATCCCCGCTACTACAGGACAAATGGGTGTCTTGCCTGGGCATGTTGCGACAATTGCAGAGCTGAAGCCTGGCGTCTTATCAGTTCACGAAGGCAACGATGTAACCAAGTACTTTGTGAGCGGTGGGTTTGCATTTGTTCATGCAAATTCTTTCGCAGATATAGTTGCTGTTGAAGCTGTGCCACTTGACCAAATCGATCCCAATTTGGTTCAAAAAGGCCTCACAGAGTTCACACAGAAGCTAAACACTGCATCAACTGACGAAGAGAAAGCCGAGGCCCAGATTGGAGTTGATGTACACAGCGCCCTTAATGCTGCTCTGACTGGTTAAATATTGTCTTTGTACCTGTTCACTCTTCTTTTTCTTCTGTATCTGTTGGAAACCACAAATTCTTCCTGATTTTCAACAGATTTATCCCTGTGCATGCATGGTGTTGCCTGTTTCTAGTCCTGCATCACATGAATAAATGCAGGGAACAAACTCTCCCAATGTATACATGCCATTTCATCTGTTACCGCCAAACTTCAGTGATGAGAATTATATTGCTCCAAAGACTATTTTTTCAGTAGTAGCTGAACCTTAATGCTATCTAATAAAAGAACCTCTTTCTAGCACCTGCAACATCTAAATCTTTCTGTATCATTCGAAATTAGTATGATGTACTGAGCAATTATAAAGAATCAAAGTCAGATGAATTTCACTATACATGTACTTCTCAGATAGTACATCCACTTCTAACATCAAAACCCAACTTCATCTTGCTATTACATTCGTTACACTTCTAACATCCTAACTCCGTTTTATTCTGCTTTTGCAAAATTGACTTGATACCATTTCCAACACTGAACTTGAGGAAGAACACAACTTAGTCTGCCTCAGAATCTGTAGTTTCCACATACATCTCTCTAACTTCATTACCATCTTGATACTCCTCTTCCTCCTCTCTCTTCTTCCTCTCTTCTTCTTTTTCCCGCTCAGCAGCTTGAGCTTGAGCTGCTTCAAGCCTAGAACTCACTGCCTCCCATGATACAAGCTTCTCCATAAAGATTGATATGTAGTCGGGGCGCCGATTCTAGAGGAAAAGAGATGAAAGTGCAACCATTAGACCAGCACAATCTTTTCTATAGGAAAATCCAGGACATATTTAAGTAATTTTATCAGCTAGGCTTACCCGGAAGTCCAGATAGTAAGCATGCTGCAATTTCAAATAAAAGATTAAGAAAATTAGATTTGGTATCAATAACCATTACAATCACCAAAAATGCAAAAAGATGTGGACCAAAATGAATCAAATATATTGACAAAAGAGCACGTTCTGCTTACCTCCCAAACATCTATAGTTAGGAGTGGCTGCATCCAATAAGACATAGTTGTGAGATTCACCTAATGGTTTTAACTACCATACTAGAATTTGAAACCTCCACCAAGGCAACAGAAAAGAATGCAGTTCTACTCACCGAGTAATCCCAAACGAGGGGGTTTATAGCATTAGGTGTTTTCACAATCACAAGCTTTTTGTCCTCATCGGAAGGATGGGGATTTGACGCGTTTCCTACATCAAGTCTATTTGCTTTGTCTGCAAAGTGAGTAGAAGAAGTATTAAGATTACAGTCAGGATTACAGGACAAGTATGTAGATAAAAGGTAAATAATTTCTCACATGCAAGCCAAGCCCACCCAGAACCAAATTGTGTTGCAGCAGCTGCCTTAAATTCTTTAACAAATGCTTCAAAGGAGCCGAAGTCTCTGTTGATTAATTTTAATAGTTCACCAGATGGCTGTCCTCCTCCACCAGGTTTCATAGACTCCCAGAAGAATTGATGGTTCCAAGCCTGTATAGAGAGAGGGCAAGGGGGATGTAAAAGGCGTGGAGTTAGATGGAGAATATCATCCAAAACACATGAAACTATCGATCCATTGAACTTCTCTATGATATCTTTTCACTTATTGGTAGAACTTTTATGCAATTCTCAACACCTAACTGTGATCTTAACCAAAATATGTATTATAAATAACATTATAATTCACAACCATAAGGTTTAATTGGAATGCACTTGGATCAATTGTAAATTAAAAATGTGTAGTCTTGATGAAGAATAAATTGATAAGCTGAATGATAAAAAAAGACTAGAGGTATTCCAGTTATGTTCTCCAAAATAGACATTGCACTCCCATCAAGAAGGTAACAAACGGTGAGGATGGGGGATCTACTTGTCTGTTTCTCACCTGTGCAGCATTGTTGAATGGTGGAAGGAGATTGCCTTGGTTATATGTAACAAGTATTATGTCCTCTAGCGTCAGTTCATCCAGTTCTGTTCCGACTATTTGCTTGTTTAAGTTGTCAACATAGGCTCTGTGATGCTTCCCCCAGTGATATTCAAATGTAGTCCGGCTCATATGAGGCTCCAGAGCATTCTACATCATGATATAAACATGTAAAATGTCTAAAGCATATTAAAAGAGAACTAAGCTAACAGGCAAAGGGTCATGTTTTCTTCTTCTTTGGACAAATGTCTATCATTCATTTGAAAAACACATGCGGAAGCATTATCATTCTTCAGATGGGGAAATGAGAAGGGTGAGAAGAGCCGGAGTAAGGGGCACTATTTTGTGGTCTCACGATTGGAGTCTATCATTCCAAGACTTGATTTTCCCAATCCATAAACTTCAGCAATTTTGGAACTGAATCAGATTACTAACCAAAGCTCACCGTCAAAACACTCCGATAATAAAAACACTGTCAGGATGTAGTTAACAACAACAACATACCCAAAGGAATCCCACTTGAGACCATCTCAAACCCAACACCAAATTTTACACCAAATCCCGAAAGACCCCAGCTCAAGTGTAGCAAATCCCAATACAAAAAGAAAAAAAAACAGAACAACTGAAAGCGAAGCAATGCAAATCCTACAAGAAAGGAACAAGAACACAAAATAGTGTGATCAATTTAAATTCAAGAAACAGACGATGACAAAAAAATTCGATGTTGTTTGAAAGTTGGAACAATAAATACCATAGGATAAGGTGGAGGATTCAGCTCAAATTTAGCTGTAACTTTAACAGTACCAGCTTTACTCGCTATCTGTTTCTGCAACCAAAAAGTCTTTTCAGCAATAAAAAAAAAAACAAAATAAAGACAGAGCCTTCGTTCTCAGTGAAGCATTTCGTCGAACACCATGTGTACTACATAAACTCAAGTAGATAATCAACTCCTTTTTGTCTATCTTATCAAAATCTATCACCCAAAAAAACGTCAAGAAAGCAGAAATACCTTGTGGGTTCTCCAATTTAGGCTTCGACATGACTCATGAAATCCTACATTACCAATACAAATTAAGCATAAAAATACAGAAAAAGGGAAGATTTGGAGTGAAATGTAGGAAAAGCCGAACCTGGGGAAGGAAGAAATGGAGAGAATAGTGTAGCAGAAGCTGTGGCGGCAGCCATCACTAGTTCTTGAATTGTGAGTGTGCTGAATTTGGTTGCTTTGCTTAAGGGAAAACCGTAAAAGCTATCTGTGATAGTCGCCAAAATTTCAAAAAGGTGAAGTTGGAGATGCAAGGATAATTAACCCTCCAATAATTCAAATTCTATTGTGTTATGGAATAGAATGAAATTAGAAAGAAAATAAAAAAGAGAATGAACAACAAAACTTAGTAGCGCAACTTTCACATATATCAAATATAAAATTTATATTTGTACGTTATAATAAAATTTATATTGTCACGATCGGAATCTAGACCCCAGACGAGACCGGCGTCGTTGACCTCTCAGAGGTCGCAGACAAGCCTGCTTACGTCATTCTTACTTTACATAGATTAATTTTAGCGGAAAATTTGAAATTTTTG